GCGCCCGGCCTCATTAGCCTTTATTATTAATATAACTCCTTGGGTTTGACCATTGGGACAGAACAACATATTAGGAAATGGTATATAATGATGCAATTGATACCTTAATACCCCTCAGTCCTTTAAGTATAGTTCAGGTGATTTTTCTATTGAAAGAATTTCCTTGTACTTGTTCAAAGTTCATCTACTTCTTTTTTTTTAGTGTGGGAGGAAGAAGTGAATCTCACATAAATTTTTGAGATCATCTCGACTTCGGTCCCCACATATTGTTGCATAAATTTAACAATGTTCTCCATAAAGTTATACAGTACAATGCATGACCAGGTATATACACAGAAGAAAGAGGAAGGGAGAGGAAAGAGAAAAATACCAGAGATAGAGAAAAGAACTGCAGGGCCCAGGGGTTAGGAATAAACTAGAACCTTACAGTGATTGGACAAATTGAAAAAAACACAAAACCATTATCAGCTATTAAAAAAAAATGTGAGGTTTTGAGGTAAAGTGAAACTCGATTTGTCAACAGGAAGCTATGGGCTCTGCACCTCTATTTATATAAACATTTGCTTTTTCCATCTTGGGTTCTGCCCAGAAGTGGCGGTCTGACTGCTTCTGGCTCTGCTCTGCTGGTTTTTAGAAAAAAAAAAAAAAGAAAGAAAGAAAGAAAAAAATTGTGACCACCTGTTTTTCTCTTTACCACCAGAGAAACTTAACAAGTCACTTTCCCTGATGTTTGGTTAGTGAAAATGCTGCAAGATACAAGGACTTCAATTTTTATCACGGTGTTGCATTTTTAACCAAGGTGTCCCTGAGTTGACAGAACTGCAACAGTCCTGCCTCTCCCCAACTGTGCTCCTGATGTTTCCATTTTACCCTAAGTTTCCAGATCTCTCAGGACCCTTCAACACACTTGCAAAATTCCCTTTGAATTTGGAATTTGAGAATTGCCGTCTTCTAGCCTCCTAGTTCGCCTCCCCTGGTGTCAGTCTGTCATCACTCTCTTATCTAGTTATTCCCCTTGTCTAGTGTTCTTCCATCTTCATTTCTGTTTATTCTCAGATTTCTTTCTTCCTTCCCTGGGTTACAGCTGCTTTAGTACATAAGGAAGAGGAACCTTAGAGGTTGCAAGTTGCTTGTGCCTTCTGACCAGGTATAAAGTAGTGGTTAAACATCCAATTTTGGCCACAAACACCCCGAAGCAGAGTGGGGAGGAGCTTGTGGCTAGCAACATATACTACTTGATGTCATCAAAAGTAAGACCCAGGAAGAGGGAGACCAGCTGGGGTTTGCACCATCTGCCAGTGAGTCAAAAGAATACTGAGGGAAAGTGTGCGTAGAAGTCTATTTAGTGAGTAGAGACACACTTAAATTTCCAAAATTTGTTCATCTGAGGAGAAAGGAGACTTTTTTTTGAATCATAAGCATGGAATATGGAAAAAGTTAGGCTCAGAGTAGGATTAACTCAATTTGGGAAGAGAAAGTAACAGTGAACCTCATGGGTAGTCAGATGAGGCTGCTATCTATTCAGGATACCAGGAAGGCATTCAATCCTTACGATATTTTTACCAAATCCTTTAATTTCAATATTAAAGATCCATTATCTTAATTTGAATAATGGCTTTTCATTAAAATATAAGTTCCTTGCTTAATGAGGGTATCATTTGTGTTAATCAGGAAAAGGATAATATTAATGCCTTAAAGAGTAAAAGGTTTTCAAATTCTTTCCAAGGATAGAACAAGGCGAGAAAACTAGAACATTAGGGACCTGAGGTGGTGCAGGGGTAACCAACAGCAACAACAATAACAGCAACAAGACACAGAGGTGATGGAATTCTGGCAACAGGGATAGAATACAGAGGGAAATGGCTAGGGCCCAAAACAATCACCTGAAACTTTGACCTGGAACCTTTCTTAGGGGAAAGTTATAGGTCAAAATAGGACTTTATAAAGATGAAGAAAGAAAGGATAGAAAGTGAGTTAGAAATATTGGTTAACACATCAAGAAGAGTTGAAAAATGTAGAGAACATAAGAACAAAGAGAAATGGCAGAACACATGGATTTGATCATGCAAAAGAGAAGTGAGAGAAGCATGAAACTTCACCTAGCAAGACTGTTGGACCTGCAGGGGGCAGAAAAGAAAAAGGGGGCCACATCTGGAGGGAATCAAATATGTCTAGGGAGTTGGAAAACCAATGGCAATGTTGTGGAATGAAG